AAACTTGAGATATCCCCTATTCCAGAGGTTGGCGAGAACAACAACCCCCCTCCACCTCCCCCCGTTAATCAATATCAACGAAGCGTACCGATGTATATTTATTTGCATTTCGGCGTTAATTGACGAGAGCACTTTTAAAAATCGAGCGCGGAGAATTTATCTCGACTCGCAATTGCAGGAAATTCGGCACGCGAGGTAATCGCCTATTTACCGCTCCGATAAGTACCGTGCACGTGTCTTATTTCCGAAATAATTGCAGCCGCACAATCTGAAATAATAACAATAATTGTATTAAGACGCCATTCGACGCGGCAATTGCGCTCGCCGTCCTCGCTCCATTTGCGAGTCCGACGTAATGGGATCGCGGAACGTTTCTCGAATTTCACGCACCATTTTTCCGTCTTTTTATAACGATCAAACATAGCCGTACTCTCTTGTTTAAACGGGAGTTATTTCCATAGAATAAGGGCCCGAAATTTTTTACGATATAATTTACCCGGCCCCCGAATCTTCCAATTAGCGAAAGTTCGCATCTTTACATTTCGGTTTGCGGCGAGTTCATCATCCAATTACTTCCAGCGGAATCCCGGGCTTCTGGATTAATTATCATTATTATTCCCTTCAGGAGACTTTAGATTGGAAGTAAAGCCACAATTTCTAATCGTTAACCATTAGCGGTAACGACGGTGTCATGTTCAATGGGGTGCATGCGTGATCCAATAAGGAGCCGTTGGAAAACGTTCGGAACCGGACAGTTGAAGAACTAAACAAACGAAGACGGGCGATCTGTGCCCACGCCGTATTGATTCATTAAATCTAACTATTGGGGGAATGTGAAAGAAAGTCGATGACTAAAGGCACAAAAGCGAAATAAGCGAAAAACAGAAGATGAAAGGTTTGTGAGAAAAATGTGATGTAATAATGCCACTCCGCCCAGTCCCCTTTTCAAGTTTTATACTAAAGTTCGAAAAGCATTGCCATACGGATTCATTAAATCTAGATACCATTTTTAACAAGTGACTTATTGCTTTGGCTTCATTCAAGGATACCGTTCAAATTTCGTTGGCAATATTACACTGTTGACTATTATGAATTAATTACAAATTGGAAAACGCTAAGTCAGTGTTCGTTTTGCCCTATAATAAATTAAACTCGGAAACGGGTTCTCGGTGCAGCTGAAACGATCGGCTTTCAATTTGCTGATAAGCAATGTCGCTTGTTGGCACGCTTTGCTCTTAACCGGATGTTTGTTACGGTATACACAAGTGCAAGTTCTTGAATGGTCCTCGAATAAGGTCCTACGTCACGTATACATGGTAAGTCATTATCGACGATAAAGAACCCTCCATGCTTTTGTGCTAGCCGGAAATAGAATGGAAAGGGTAAATACTCGACCTCCTCCTGATTTGGATTCGTTGCAATTCCTGTCCCTCATTTTAATTTATTGTAAATTATGTCTTCAACGTATACTGTGCCCGCATTCTATAATAGAATATCTTAAGCACTTTAAAACGCACAAAAATACCTCGAATCAGGTAATGAAAAAAGAGAGGAGGTCGAAAAATGGCAAAAGGGCAATAAAGGCGAAATTGAAATGGCACGAACTGAAAATGATGACAACACGAAAACGAGAAGGGAACGGTAACGGAAACGGTAACGGAAACAAAGAAATGGTATCGGAAACGGAAAGGAAACGAGAAGGAAACGGAATGAGAACGGTAACACTAACGGTAACGAAAAGAAAGCGGCAAAGTGGAAAAGACACGGAGAAAAAACGGAATGGAAACGGAAAGGAGCCGGAAAAAAGCGGAAACAAAACGGAAACGAAACGGTAAGAAAACGTAAAGGAAGCGAAAAGAGAAACGGAAAGAAAACGAAAAGAAAGCGGAAAGGGAAACGGAAAGAAAACGAGAAGGAAACGGAAAGCGAACGGATAGGAAGGAAAACGAAACTGAGACAAAACGAAAAGGGGGCGGAAAGGTGACGAAAACGGTAACGGAAACGAAAACAGTAACGGCAACGGGAACGGAAACAGATAACCAAGAGAAAATAAACTGAAACGAAACGAAAATGGGATGGAAACGGGACGGAACGGAAACGAACACGGTAACGGAAACGGTTGCGGACACGCAAAGCGTAACGGAAACGACAAAACATGGTAACGGGGGCGGAAATGGAAAACGAAAATAGTAACGGCAACGGGAACGGACACAGAACGTAAACGAATAACAACGGAAAACGAAGAAACGGAACGGAAACGGTAACTCTGACGGAAATAAACCGGAAACGAAACGGAGCGGAAGCGGAAGCGAAATGGAAAGGAATCGTAAAGGAAGTGGAAAGGGAAAAAGAAAGAAAACGAAAAGGAAACGGAAAGGAAACGGAAAAGAAACCGAAGGGGAGAGGATAGGAAGGAAAACAAAACGGAAACGGGGCGGAAAGGTGAGAAAAACGGTAACGGACACAGAACGTAAACGGATAACAAAGCGAAACGAAGAAACGGAACGGAAACGGTAACTCTGACGGAAATAAACCGGAAACGAAACGGAGCGGAAGCGAAATGGAAAGGAATCATAACGGAAACGGAAAGCGAAAACGAAAGAAAACGAAAAGGAAACGGAAAGGGAGAGAATAGGAAGGGAAACGATTAACGAACCTAAAACGAAACGGCAATAGGCGGAAAGGTGACGAACACGGCAACGGAAACGAAAACAGTAACGGTAAAGGGATCGGAAACAGAACGGAAACGGATAACAAAGGAACACGAAGAAACGGTAACTCTAACGGAAACGAAACGGAGAGGAAGCGAAACGAAAAGGAATCGTAAAGGAAACGGAAAGGGAAAAGGAATGAAAACGGAAAGGGAGAGGATGAGAAGAGAAACGACACTGAAACGAAACGGAAACGGGGCGGAAAGGTGCCGAAAACGGTTGCGGATACGGAAATCGTAACGCAAAGTAACTCAAACGGAAAAAAACTGGAACGAAACGGAGAGGAAACGGAAGCGAAACGGAAAGGGAAAAGGAAAGAAAACGAAAAGGATGGGGAAAGGGAGAGGATAGGAAGGGAAACGAAACTGAAACGGTACGGAAAGGGTGCGGACAGGTGACGAAAACAGTAACGGCAACGGAAACAGAACGTAAACGGATAACAAAGGAAAACGAAACTGAAACGAAATGGAAATGGGACGGAAACGGGACGGAAAGAAAACGAAAACGGTAACGGAAACGACAAGGGCATGGTAACGGAAGCGGAAATGGAAATGAAACGGAAACGGTAACGCTAACGGAAAGAAAGCTGAAACGAAACGGAGAGGAAATGGAAAGGACATGCAACAAAACGGAATGGAAACGGGAGGGAAACGGAAAGAAAGCGGAAACGAAACGGAAAGGAGGCGGGGAAAAACGGAAACCGTAACCGAAACAAAACGGAACGGACGGGAGACGGAAAAAAAGAAAAAAACCGAACTTGGCTGAAACCCCGCCCACTCAAAAATAAAGGCAAATAATTAAAAATAAAAATAAAACTGAAACGAAACGGAAACGGTACGAAAAGAAGACGAAAAAAAGGAAACGAAACGGAAAAGGAAAAACTTTGCCCTTTAGGGGATTTCCTTTTCAAATCTAATATGAAAGAGTGAGAGCGATAGTATAAGAGTAAATGTGTAAAAAAGATGAAGGGAAGCGAAAGGAAATGGAAGGGTGCCAATGTAACGGTGTTCTAGAAAAGCGAGAAAGTTGACGAACTGAGCGAGAAAGAAGGGAGAAACGTTGAAGAGTAAATCAATGGGCGGCATTGTGTGAGATGAGAAAGGAGTGTAGGAAACTGAGGGAGTGAGCGAGAGAGTAAAAACTCGAGATCGATGGTGTGGTGGAGTGGAGGTCAAAAATCGAGTGAGTGAGAGATCGAGGTAGTGAGGTGAGGTGAAAGTTGATGGAGTGATGAACTGAAATCGTGAAACGCGAGCGAGGAAAGCGAGAGTGAGGAAATGTGAGAGCGAAACAGGGAGAGAATTAAACAGAGCGCGAGTGAGAGGATGCAAATTTGAGGGAGTTCGTTCTTAGAGACTATCGTGCCTCTACGGTCTTATGGACTCCTTGGAGATTACATGGATACTTTTGTGTTCCTAGCGTTTAGGATCCTGAGAATTCTTAGGGCACTTGGAGTTTTCAAGAAATTCGTCGACTCACTGAAATCTTGACGTTCCTGTTTCTGAGTATGTGGGAGTTGAGAGTTTCATAGGGCCCTTAGAGTTCCTACGAGAAGTTCAAGAAAGTCAGTTTAGATAGGCGATACTCCCAAAACTCAAAAATACCCCTCAAAAATTCATAAAAATTTCCGATTCGACTGCACGTTTGGGATGATGCAATTTGTTTTAGTGAGGCTTGGTTAGTGTGACAGTTAGGTTAACTTGGTCTATATATATATAAATAAAGTTCAAAGGGCTGTAACTTTTGATCTAGTACTCCAATCGTGGAACTGTTTGAAATTGTGGATTCTACGGGACAAACTCTATAAGAAAATGTTTTTTCCCGGTCGATCTCAGACAATTTTTTTTTCCAGCCTCAAAAAAAAGGCAGTTATTTACCTTCCTTTTTTACCAAAAATCGACCGCTCCAAAATTTCTCGGGAAAACACTTTTCCTCACTAATTTTGGTGCGTAGAATCCAAAACGATTCGTACTTTTTCGATCAGACCTCTCGATCAAAAGTTATGGACTATATAAAAATTTCGACTATATATATGAATATATATATATATATCAAATGCGTCTACGCATAATGACACCAAAGGTGAAAATAATAAAAAATGGGCGCGAAATGGGCACTTTCCGGTGAAATTCTTTCGACTTTTTGTTACTAAACCATTACTTTCAAGACCACCTCTGTAATATATGCTTGCAGTCCGCTTGGATGCAGCTAAAACTTTTACAGCGCGACGCCATACACTCGAAAAGTTTTTATTGGCGAAATTTGCAACTCACTAAAAATAATATGTACCTTTTGCATCGCCGACGATATTTGCACCGTCGTCCTTAGCTTCATCCATCGCTGATTGGATTTCGTTCTGAAATCAGAAGACGGCAGGTTAGAGCGATTGACACAGTCTTGATTTTCGGTAGCGTATTAAACAGACACACAAATGCAAATCAGCAAAGATACGTTTATGGCTTAGAAAGTGAGTAATTAATAGAGAGAGGGTAAGAGTCAAAAGGTTACTCCTAGATAGCCTAATTAATAGTCATTCAGAGAAGAGGAAGGTCAAGGTTGCCAGACTGCGTGTTCGTGACGTGGCAACGTTGCCCTTGTTGTTAAAACAATGAGTAGTAGAAATAATAGTACATTGTAGTATTGTAGTTACTGTAGAAGGCCACCAAACATCGAATAAAGGTTGCAACTGCAAGTAAGTAAGTAGTAAATTTCAAAATTATTCACAACCTCTTGATTTTACGCAGTGAATGATAGCAAGCCATGACTGCACGTAAATTCTTCCAACTTTGTGTCGGCCCTTTCTGCGGTTCCTCCACAAATCCTTGCGTTTCCTCTTTCGCTCTGTAAAGATACCTTTCTAGATTTTATCGGTAAGACAATCGCTGACCCGGTTATAATTTAGTGCACCCAAAAAAGAAATCTAGACGGGTCGAAGTCGGCGACCTACCTCGTGTTTGGACTTTTGTCGGATTCGTTGGCGTTCGAGGAGTCCTCGTCGTCGCGACTGGTGTTATGCGATCTGGGAGACTGTAGCGGAGTGTGGGCGTCGTCAGAACTCCCGTCGTCGCCCTTCCCCATTGTTTTATCACCACCAACATTCTCGTTTGCACTGAGCGCTTCTAGCTGAAACAAATTCGCCGATGTAAATTGACCTTTCGACGTGTAAACTCTACTTTACAGATCATAAATTTAGACGAATAGAAATCTATATTTACAACGCGTTCGCTTTACGAGAGCCCCTAAAAGTTTTATGCGGTATCAGCGCGTTTTTTAGCGGTACACATTGCCAATGGAATCGGTAATTGAATTTTGATTGCAATTAATTTTTACGATATTGGGTGTTTACGATGAAGCACGAATGGGTGCATAAGATTTCACTTGTGAACGAGAGGGTCATGGCGAAACCTTTTAAAAGACCCTCCGGAGTGAAATTAAAACTTATTGACGCCTTGAAATCGCCCTAGAAAATTTGCTGCAGAAAGTAGTAAAAACTTTCGCCACAGGCCACTCTGACATAGCAGCACCGTAGAAGTTGTTTGCATCTTAATATATTAAATACGCAGAAGTGGGATCGTATTGTTAATTGAAAGATCTAAATGGCTTCAAAGCCTCCTGAAAGGCTGAAAGCCACTTGAAGGCTACTAAAGTGTAGAAATATTATGAGTTTAAAGATTCTAAAACTATCTATAACTCCGTTTGACAACATCTAATCCCCTTGGTGATCATTTGAGACTACTGACGCCACTTGAGGCTTTTAAAAGTTAGAGCTTTCAAGCAGTTAGAGATACTTAAGGACTCAATAAAACAACTTAAAAGTATTAAAGGCTTTTCAAGGTTCGGCTTCGTTAAAATCTCTCAAAGGCTCGGCTCTTAAATACGGTTTGTGACTCTCAAAGGCCGTTCTCAAGAAGCCTATAGAGACCTTTAAACGCTGGTTAAGAAAAATCAAACTTAAAGCAGACCTGGGGTTTTCAAATGCTCTTCAGAACTTTCCTTAAAGCCGATAAAGGCTCTCCAAGATCCTAAAGGGTCCCTATTAGGGTCATTTGGAGACATGAAAACAACGGGAAACTCATTAACATTATTAGAAAGTAACCGCCTACAAAGTAACCTTGGGAACTCCTGAATCCTTAAATGCCCTCTAAGGTTTCCTAAATAGTCGTACAGACTTAAAACCTCCCAAAGTCTCGGTTTTTAAAAAGCGGGAGGATCTGAAAGACCCTAAAGGTTACTGGATTCGCCTAGAGAAACCTCTAAACAGCCATGAAAGCCTTTAGTGATTCGTAAGAGCCTTTTAAACTGATTTAAAGCGCATCGAGGGTTCTGAAATTCCCAAAAGCAGCTTCAAAAGTCCTACTTCTATAGTCCTACCACAACAGTCCTTAGGGATAAATGACTCGAAGGAGAACGTAGCCCCGGGGGATCTAGGGGGAATTATATCCCCAAAGCAAACGAATAACTAGTTATAGGAAAGAGAAAATCGTCCTTTCTTGGAGAGCACTTCATAACCCCCAAACCCCCCGGTGCTACGGTCCCCCGTGACACAATCAGACCCTTATGGCCCCTTTCCAAAAATTATGGTTCATATGGTATGTGCACTCCATAATTTGGAAAAGAATGTCGAACCGGGGGGGGGGGGTCTCGACAATTCCCCCCAGTACACGAAAACCCCCAGGTTTTACATTCTTCGCCAAATCATAAAGTGCACATACCATATGAACATCCATTTTTGGAAAAGACCAACACCAGGGTTTCATTGAGACTGGCTCTGTCATGGCGGACCGTAGCACCGGGGGTTCTGGGGGAGGGGGGTATGAAATACCTCCCAGAACACGAAGACTATGATAGTTATAGGGAAGAAAACATTGAATCGAGAATTCTCCATGGAAAAACGTTTTAACGAATTTTCTTCTACAACTATCCAAGACTTTCGTGTGCTGGGGGGTATTCCATACCCCCCAGACCCCCCGGTTTTACATTCTTCCCCAAATCATAAACTGCACATACCATATAAACATTCATTTTTGGAAAAGGGTCATAAGAGAAACACTTAGCTCTCGCTGAGGCTGATTGTGTTATGGGGGACCGTACCTCGGGGGAGTCTGGGGGGTATGGAATACCTCCCGTTACACGAAGACCTTATGATCGTTATAGGGAAGAAAACATTGAATCGAGAATTCCCCATGGAAGAACGTTTTAACGCTTTTTCTTCTACAACTATCCAAGACATTCGTATGCTGGGGGGTATTCCATACCCCCCAGACCCCCCGGTTTTACATTCTTCCCCAAATCATAAACTGCACATACCATATGAACACTCATTTTTGGAAAAGGACCATAAGAGAAACACTTAGCTCTCGTTGAGGCTGATTGTGCTATGGGGGACAGTACCTCCGGGGGGTCTGGGGGTATGGAATACCTCCCGTTACACGATGACCTTATGATCGTTATTGGGAAGAAAATATTGAATCGAGAATTCCCCATGGAAACACGTTTTAATTGTTTCCCTTCTACAGCTATCTAAGATTTTCGTATACTGGAGAGTATACCATACCCCCCCAGACACACCCCCCAGACCCGCCGGTTTTATATTCTTCGCCAAACAATAAAGTGCACGTACAATAGGAACCATAATTTTTGGAAAGGGACCATAAGACAAACACCATTCTCTGGTTAAGGCTGATTGTGTCATGGGGGACCGTAGCACCGGGGGTTCTGGGTGGGGAGGGGGTATGAAATACCTCCCAGAACACGAAGACTTTATGATAGTTATATGGAAGAAAACATTGAATCGAGAATTCCCCTTGGAAAAAGGTTTTAAGGAATTTTCTTCTACAACTATCCAAGATCTTCGTATGCTGGGGGGTATTCCATACCCCCCAGACCCCCCGGTTTTACATTCTTCACCAAATCATAAACCGCAAATACCATATGAACATTCATTTTTGGAAAAGGACCATAAGAGAAACACTTAGCTCTCGTTGAGGCTGATTGTATTATGGGGGACCGTACCTCCGAGGGGTCTGGGGGGTATGGAATACCTCCCGGCACACGAAGACCTTATGATCGTTATAGGGAAGAAAATATTGAATCGAGAATTCCCCATGGAAGAAAGTTTTAACGAATTTTCTTCTACAGTTATCCAAGACCTTCGTATGCTGGGGGGTATTCCATACCCCCCAGACTCCCCAGTTTTACATTCTTCCCCAAATCATAAATTGCACATACCATATGAACAATCATTTTTAGAAAAGGACCATAAGAAAAACACTTAGCTCTCGTTGAGGCTGATTGTGTTATGGGGGACCGTACCTCCGGGTGGTTTGGGGGGTATGGAATACCTCCCGGCACACGAAGACCTTATGATCGTTATGGGGAAGAAAATATTGAATCGAGAATTTCCCATGGAAACACGTTTTAACGAATTCTCTTCTACAACTATCCAAGAGCTTCGCTTTGTATGCTGGGGGGTATTCCATACCCCCCAGATCCCCCGGTTTTACGTTGTTCCCTAAATCATAAACTGCACATACCATACGAACCTTCATTTTTGGAAAAGGACCATAAGAGAAACATTTAGCTCTCGCTGAGGCTGATTGTGTTATGGGGGACCGTACCTCCGGGGGGTCTGGGAGTATAGAATACCTCTCGGTACACGAAGACCTTATGATCGTTATAAGGAAGAAAACATTGAATCGAGAATTCCCCATGGAAAAACGTTTTAACGAATTTTCTTCTACAACTATCCAAGAGCTTCGCTTCGTATGCTGGGGGGTATTCCATACCCCCCGGACCCCCCGGTTTTACGTTGTTCCCTAAATCATAAACTGCACATACCATATGAACCTTCATTTTTGGAAAAGGACCATAAGAGGAACACTTAGCTCTCGCTGAGGCCTATCCAAGACCTTCGTATGCTGGGGGGTATTCCATACCCCCCAGACCCACCGGTTCGACATTCTTTCCCAAATCGTGCACGTCATATTTATCACAATATCCTCGTATACTGAGGGGTATACCATTCCTCCCAGACTTTACGGTTCTATATTCTTCCTCAGGAACCGCAAGAGCCCTTAGAGCTGATTATTTTAATAGAGAAGGTAGTACCGTGAGTCTGGGGGTTCGAGGATCTTGCGATAGTTGGAAGGATGCACAAATTCGAACTTTCTAGCAACACAATATTTTCATATACTGGGGGGTATGGAATACCCCCTCCTGTAACATTTATTCTCAGTATGTACAAGAGTTCTTAGAGTTAAGTAAGTGGGGTATGGAACTATATTGTGAACAAATATTTCAAATTTCCGGACGGGCGTCCAACAATTTACGTTGCTAGGGGGGATTGGGTTTTTGATGGTAGGTAGACAAGTAGAAGTTGATCCTAAATCGCTTTTAACTGCCCTTTTTTTATTATCTTTAAAAGGAGGATCAAAAACCAATTGCATTATATTTGTATTATTCCCTCCACCCCCCCCCCC